ACGGAGCGTGATAATATGGCTCACAGTCCATACAACATCTTACAGAATTTAAGAGACATTGCATTTCACACTAAAACTGTCTTTTGAACAGTTATCTCGTTATTTTTTTTATGAATTGTGAGATTATGTATCTTGACGAAGTTATCTCTAACGGATTATTTTGTATGAAGATGGATTTTTGATATTTGAACTAATAGTAGCAGTTAATAAAATAAAAGTATTTTTGAGTAGTCTTCAAAGGTTTAAGGTATGATAAAAAATGTAATATTAAGCTCATTTGGAAGATGTCTTGGATTACTAGCAAGTTACTGGCTGAATGCCGGGGTTCTTGAGCATTCCGGATATCGCACCCATTCAACACACATGGGCCGGGACCAACGGCTTTAAAGGGTGTACCGTTTAAAATCTGCACATACAAAATTCAATCTCTAAATTCGAGTTTTTATCCGATTATCACCAAATTTTCAGGGAGTAAAAATAAGCAATTAAAGTATGTTTTTAAAATCATTCATTTAATTTATTTCGCCTTTATATCCGAATGCACGAACATTGGCCTTAACCCCAGCCATAAGGTTCTGCACCACTTCAGAATCGACAGATTTTTTTGCATATTAACCCATGCTTGCTTCATTTCTTCTAGATTCTTCACCACTTTAGGTCGTTTTAGAAGGTGCTCCTTCATAATGGCCCAGTATTTTTTCTATTGGGTGCAGTTCCGGAGTGTTTGGGGGCCTCAGATCTTTCGGCACGAAATCGACATCATTCGCCTTATACTACTCTAGCACATCCTTTGATGCCAAATCCGGCCACCCTGCCAAATACACCTGTCCATTCATTGTGATTGCGGTAACGAAAGGTGTACTCCGCTTTCCGCAAGTACAAATCGCTTGCCAAATTAAGAACTTCTTTTTGAACTTCGACATCTTCTGTGTCCGGAGGTTCTCGGAAACATCACACTTATCCTTGGCAGTCACATACAGGTTTATGGAATCTGGTTGAAGTCCGCCTTCACATATGTCTCGTCATCCATTACGCAGCAATGTGGTTTCGTTAACTTCTGGTTGTACAACTTCTGGGCGCGGCTTTTTGCGACCGTATTCTGTTTCTTGTCACGGGTTGGTATTCTGCACGAAAGTCTTTCTCAAATACAACTTTTTAGCCACATCTCGAACTGAGGCGAACGATGTGACAGATCCTTATTCTCAAAGTACTTGTGCAAAACTTTTACTTGCACGCACTGTCCAACTAACAATTTTCACAATGCAAACGCTTTACTCATTTCATTTATACAGCCTCAAGCTGTATTCAAACGTTATACGATATGAGGAAACCTTTACTCAACCTCTATACAAGCAAATCTGGCGAACTTAGTCAGCTAATTATGGTTGTTGGGACGGTTGGGACAAGCTCTTATTGCATATCCATTAACACTTCTATACAGCTGTTATCCTGCTGTTTAGTTGTGTGTCAAATTGAAAAGCGCGTATTCAATCTTTTCCCGGTTATCCAATAATCATTACACAGCTTTCTCTTGAAGCCGGATTAAATACTGTTTACGCTTTTTTTTATGGAGGAATTTATTGAGTTTATTTTGCTGTGAATCAAATTAATCGAAATTAGTTACACAAAGTCATCACCAAATTATTTACCCTGCACCGGAACCTGGAATCGAACTCGAAACGACGCATTGGCAAACCTTGACACTACCAACTGTGCTACACCAACACTTTGAACTGATGTAAACAAATCAACATGCCCTTCTACAACAAAATCGCAGAGTAGAGGCTTTATAATAGCGCACATGAATCACTTTTCTCGACTAGTAACTTAAGCTTTGTAAAGGAGCAGAGTACAAGCTGTAAAACTGCACACGTCTAAAAATAAACCTAGTTGACTGTGAAAATGCGTCCAAAGTAGCTCTAAGACAGTAGTTTATTAGCTGAGTACAGTTTAGTTGTTGAAAAAGCACTTTTGATGTTTATGTTATTCAGCAAGAGTGGTTGGTTGTATAGAAGCCATCAAAAGAGTAATATATTCACTTTATTAGCTTTGTTTTGCAGTAACAAGTTGAAAGTTGATTAGTATGTGTATAAAAGAGACATTAGTGTTTTTTGGCTGTTGTTATTCAGTGTGACTGACAAATTGAATAATGGTTGTGAAAAAGTTGAGTAAACGCTCTCCAAAACTATTTTGCTAGCTTCTGCTTATAGCTGTATCTGCAGCTTCTTTTCAGCTACTTTACAGCACAACGCTAGAAAAGTTGGCTTATAAAACTGAAAATGTTAGTTGGGTGTTCTTTTGTCGCCATTTTGAAAACTTTTGTGCACCTGATAAAATCAACTCACAGAGAGTAAACAATACAAATTAAACTATGTCTACGCAAAATTTCAATTAATTTTACCCAACCGCTCAAAAGTTAGAGTAATTTAAGTGTGTGCGGATTTTAAACGGTGCACCCTTTACTAGACCTGTGCGCTGGTCTTTCATCGGCGGCGGCGGTGGCGGCGGCGTTGAAGCTGCTTTTGCCTCGGCGGCGGTGGTGTCGCGGCGTGACGTCGTTGACTTTGATCAGCGGTGGCGGCGGCGGCGTGCATCGGTGTATTACCAACCGGTGGAAACTAATGATTTTAAATTGGCTCATTACTTGACTTGCCTATTGGTCCTATGTATATAAGCGTACCCCATTGTAGCCGAAATTATAGTAGTACACTATGTATGTTTTTTTGATTCGCTATGAAAGTTTGACAGATAAATTGAGGGTTTCGTGGATTTTCCTATGTTTCGAGGGGTGCATCGATTGGCTTGGGACCGAAGAGAGTACCAGAGCTGAGCCAAAAAGTTGAGCACGTTTCTTCGGGATCTTCATACCTTAGAGTTACCTCTATGGTATTACTTTGGTGGTCGTTAAAATATCACATTTCCAACTTTAATTCTAGTTAGGTAAGATGAATGAAACAAAAATATTGTGTTGGTGTTTGTGACATGTTATAGACATCGTCATTTGAAATGTGCTACCTGCTTTTCGGAACACTATCGACATTATTTCTAAGGTTGTTTGGATGACTACTCGATTTTTGCCCGTAGTTTTGAATTTCTTTGTAATTTGATACGTCACATTACGGTTCGATAATCTGCCCATTTCTCGGGGGAATTTAGAACGTGTCCAGACACTTGATATATATGTCATGAGCCGTTTTTTTCGGACTCTCATGTCATCTGAGGTATTGCTTGATGTGTTAAGATTTAAGTACAGATTGTTTTTCATTTACCCGGGGGGAATTCAAAATATATATGGTATAATGAGGATCTTGGTACTCGATGCGGCTGGTTTTAATTAATATTATAATCTGGTCACTTCCTTGGGGGTTCCCTGAAGGGGGCTGTTACTGAACACGCGTTTGAAACCACTCCCGTGGCAGAAACGTCATCCACGAACATTTTGCTTGAAGCCAAAATTGTTGGTTCTTTGGCACGATTATCTGCCGATCTAAGACGGCTGATGCAAACATTGAGAAATTATGCCTCATTCACATAGATGTTTGATTTGTTGCGCGTCAAAATAATCGTGATAAATCTTCAAGAAGCGCGTACTTGATGGAATTAAATAGTTATTATATTATTATTTTTTAATTAGGCAAGCTAATCATGAAAAAATCAAGTTTTATTATTGATTATTCACACAAGATTTTTAACGCATATGTGTCGTCAATGCACATATAAACATATCATAAAAACTGTAGGCTACAGTGCTGACACCACCAATGGTGGTGGCTTCAGCAACCCTCCTTCTTGGCAGAGGATTGTTTGAAACAAGAATGAAAATTGAATAAATATCTAGGCAACCTATTAATTTTCCCATTATTCAGAATAGGTTTCTGAATCAAAACGTCAACTATTATTAAACTAGAACGTTAAAATCCAAAAATATGTTAGCCAACCCAAAATTGAGGGGGCTTGGCAGCTATAGAATACCCATGGTTTCCGGAACGTGTTTGATAATTGCCATTGTTAACATCCTATATTCTAATTTGGTGCAGTTTGTGAGAAATACATCTTCTAAAATTTAGGAACGTATGTCAGCCTTTATATCGTCGGCGTATTGAAAATTATAACGGCGGTGTGCCAAAAATGATCACGGCGGCGCGCCGACTCGAAATCATCGGCGGCGGCATGTGAAAAAGTTTCGGTGGCGGCGCACAGGTCTATATTACTTCTTCCAAGAAGGGATGAACCAGCCTTCGGCTAAAAATCTCTATAATAAAAAAAAAACTTCTTCCAGGACGGAATCCATGCTACATGATACATCTCCCCTAGCTCGAAACATATTGGCAAATAATATCTAATATTTTGCTCTGACCTTCTAGAGATTTTAAATCTTCGAAAATGTTGTCAAAAAATAAACAACGCTTCTTAAGATGTCAAAATTGTCCGTAGTTTACTGTCTATGCTTACAAAAATTCTGTCAAGGACAAGTTTCATGGAATCCCGTCACTTCGTGTTTTCACTGACACTAATATCGCCATCCAAAAGCTATTCAGATCTGAAAATTAAACACGATGTTTGATTCTATGTAGCAAACATGTTGATTCATTTCGAACATTATACGTTAAGTTGATCGCCAGATGTGAAAATGTGGTGTGGTAAAGCAAATTGTATGGAAAAAGGATTCGATCAATTGTGTTTTCAAATTGTTTTTTTTTTCATTATTTTTCTATGTTTTTATTTAAGGCTAATAGGTTACATTTTATCTTGATGTTAATGCATTAATTTTACTGAGGAATAAACTGGTTTTAATACACACATTTCAAAGATAATGTTGAAAAACATGTATATTGCGATTATGCCCAATGTCTTCAATGTCGAACATGATACATTACGCCTAACATCTGCATGTTAATGTTATGTATGCCTTATGGATATGCTGTAAACCTAAGAGTCGTTACTAATCAGGATTGATTCCAATAAACATACATTCTATTCTGAAAGCTTACGTCATTTACCTGATATCTCCATTTCCGTGAGCCTGGGATAATACAAGTACGGTTGCCTCAAGAATTCCAGCTGAGGTAACTGCGGAAAGTTTAACTGGCCTCTAATATCTTCCTGGGAATAGAGAGAAGTGGGTATATATTTAGTTATTTTTATTGATTGTATTGGTGGTAATTTATCATAAAATCACGCATGAACCTTATACTAAATGTGTTAATAAAGATAACCCAATCTAACCTTATACACAATGTATGAGTTTTTTTTAATGTGGATTTTAAATAATTTTTCAAGTTTACAGATTTCAGTACTTGTATCAACTTGTACCAAAACCCTCTAAGCACATTTGAATAGTGGCACTAAGCTAGATCCGACCAGAAGATCGTAGGGCCCTCTTGTTGGTTTAACAGAGGAAGCAGACGGTTCCTTGAGGTAGATCCGTTTACAGTCCCGGTAGTCACGAACGGCGCACTCCGTTTGCGACATGAGCAGATCGGTTACCAAATCATGTATTTCTTGACAAATTTTGAAAGTTTCTGCTTCCTTACTTCCTCCGAAACATTAAACTTGTGCTGAGCGGTGAAGAACAGTAGCTCCGGAAGCTGCCGGAAGTCCGCCTTGACGTAAGTCTCATCATCCATGATGAGACAATGAGGCTTCGTCAGCATCTGGGTGTACAGTTTCCGGGTCCGTGACTTTCCCACCGTATTTTGCCGCTCGTCACGATTTGGAGCCTTCTGCACTTTGCACGTATGCAGTCCCTCCCGATCCTTGGCTATCTGAACGACATACTTTGACAGATTCAACTTTTTGGCCACATCCCTGACCGAAGCATTGGGATTCCGCTTAAGCGCTATGACGACACGCTTGCGATCCGATCACTAATAGAACATCCATTCTGACCGCATTTGTCCTTCCGTTCGATGCGCAGTAACGTTTAATCACACGACTCACCGTTGACTGCACGATTCCGAGTTGTTTTCCGATGTCCCTATGAGAGAGTTGATGATTTTCCAGGTGCTTGCGCAAAATCAATTCGCGACGTTGCTTTTCGGGTGACGCCATTTTTTCCAACTTTCGAAAAAAGTTTGAAGTGAAATAAAGTGAACTTTTTTACACCGTTGCTACTCTCTGTGCTACTCGACAATGGTGAAACTCTCTCCTCCTTCAATAATAAACAAATTAAAATTTTCCTAAGCCTAAAGGATTTATATACAGTTCAAGATTGAAAAAAGTTTTCAAAGCCTCAACTTGTTTAAATTTTCAGTAATAAAATAATTCAAATTTTCAAATACAATTGGGCTGCATTTCGAAAAATAAAAGATTTATCTAAGCAATTGTTAATTATGTAGGGGAAAAGTTGGCTTCGGGAATACCTTAACCTATTATCGTCAGGGGGTAAAAAACGTCCTTGGGAGCTCAATTTTGGCATGTGGGTACATTGTGTTTCAGAGCAACTATTGGCCAAATTTGAGTGCTCTAGGACTTTGTTTACCCCCTGACGATAATAGGTTAAGGTATTGCCGAAGCCAACTTTTCCCCTATAACTTGTAATAATAAGCGATCACATCTATAAAATCTTGAGACTTCAGGGATTTTTTTTTATTTTCAAGCTAAAAAAAATATACTTAAGATTTTTGGCTTATTGGGACATATTAAACCTCCCCGTAAACGTGGGTAGATCACCTTTTGGTGGTGCGTTACCGAATGTAAGATCTACCACCGAATCTTAGTCCTGACTGCTTCAAACTAGGGGAACAGGATATTTCAGTAATCAAAGTAACACATCTTAGTCCTTGTTACTCGTTATGCCTTCTTGATAGTGACAATACTCGGCTTTATCCACCGAGGATGAACTTAAAACTATAAAAAAATGAGTTAGTTAGTCTTCATATATGTGATTCCTAATCTTCTATTCGTTGTTTTCTAGTTTGAAGTGGTTAAGCCTAGGGTTCTGATGCATGGTCATTATCGGTGTCATTGCTTATTTTTGTTGCTTAGGAATCCGGTTTTGACTGACAAAGGGCACGTCTTTCTAAGGTTTTTTCAACACTCCGAAGGGTATAGATAGCGGGACCTTTCAATTAGAGTCGGATCCTTGGGATAAATGCAAGAATGACAACTGTTAAAAAAAACGAATACTTCATAATTTCTCAATAGTGATGGAGTAATACGACATGCACTAAACTAAGGACACGCGATATGCTACAATAGATCAAATTACTGGTCGCAGTGGTTTAATTTCCCGAATAGAGGAGAAAAAAAAACTACAAAGATATAGATTTTTTTTTCAAACTTGAAGTATTGTTATTCTTAAATTCTGCAACTAAGAGCAAACATTTCAAGGTCCTCTTGAACATGAACACATTTTCTTGGTTCAGGCATTTTTAAGAATATTTTAGAGCATTTTGATGAAGATTTCAAAGAAATTACGAGGAGAACGTAACATAATTCTGCCTAGAATTAAATTGAAGTTCTGTCGAAAAATCAATACAAATTGATAAGAAAACATCAATTTTATTTTAAAGGGAAATAAGTTCGAGGATAATTCCAAGAAATTTTAGAACTGAGCTCCATGTGTATTTATCATATTCAACAGAAGAGAAAAAAAATAATATAATGTTCCACAGCAGAAAAGGCTATTTTGAACTGGGTTCCAATCAAATTCTGCGTACAGTTCTAATTGAAATCTCTGGAGAATTCAAAGTAGAATCCAACGGGATTTTTCAGGATGAATGCAAGATTATGCTGAATTGAATTCCAAGGCAATTCTCAAGATTATACTAGGATTATTTTGAAGGGTTATCCTTAGCGAATTCTTGTGATTATTTTTTAATTATTATTATTTAAAAAAATCTAGGGACGTTTTTGACAAATTCTAAAACGTACTAAATTTTGAAACGATTTTTAGAAAATTATTGAGAATATTCTTTAAAAAATCTGTGAATTGAACACTTCACAGATTTTCTTAAAAATATTCTCAATAATTTTCTAAAAACGAAATTATCAATATATTATAGACAACGATTTTTTGTTCAAGATTCCGTGCATAAAATATTGTTTGAAGAGCTAACTGATTTTATTTATGTTGATTTGTTTTCCGTCAATCATGTTTTCCATGCTGAGTACCAATGCTACCGACGCCAGGGAGGCAGCTCCCACACCTGGACCCTACCTATCGATCCATCAACTCATGAACCGTTGACCAACAGCTTTACTTCCCCCCTGCTTCCCGTGATCAGGGATATCATGCCTCAGAACATCTCGGCGGTGCGGACTGGGGTTGAACCCAGGCCTGCTGGAGTGAGAGGTAATCAAGCTTACCACTACACCACCGGCGCTGCTAAAATCCAACTGATGAAGAACTAAATTGTCTTACGCTTTGATTTTTTAAAGATCTCGTTTTACTAAAAATCTGGATGATTCTGAAACTTATTTATTTAAGTTATTTGATATTCTGGATATAATAAAATAATATCTTGAACACAGATTTATTTAAAAAAATACCGGATACAGAGCTATCAAGAACTTAAAGTTATTCTTCTCGTGATTGTCACCCCTCCAAAGGTTACACCAATGAACTTCGAATTGCACCAGCTACGGGGAGAACCATCCATCGTCCACACTGCAACAATTTGGCGAATATGGTGGGCTGGACACGTCGTAAGAATGCCGGACAATGACCCAGTGAAAATTTTTATCGAAAGCGACCCAACAGGAACAAGAAGAAGAGGTGCGCAGTGGGCAAGGTGGATCGACCAAGTAGAAGGCGGGACCCTTCGCAGACTACGAGGCTGGCGTCGTGTAGCCATCGATCGAGTAAAGTGGAGACGACTTCATCCGACAGCAGAGGACATCAAGGCCTTAGTCTGATTGGTAAGATAAGCAAGCTGAAGCACCTTTATTCAAAATGAATGTAAATTGATTTAAATTTGGGACCAAACAATACAGAGCCTTGATTTGGAAGGCACTTTTGATATTCTTTAAAACAATATAATGTGAAACCTGGAGTAACATGTGAAAAGAGTCTATGCACTCTAGAGCTCTATGACTTTAAAGTCTCACATCCACGCAGACTAAGCACAACATCTTCAATCTTCAACTTCAGAACAAGCTTCCGCTATCAGATGTTGCTGTTCGTATATCTGAATGAGTCTCAACCCTCGTGAAATACTGTCAATGTTGCCCTAGAAATGATTATTTTTTTCAAATATGCCTTCTAAAACTCAGGTACTGGCTCATACATACCAAGGGATATTTCATCTCGGAATCGTTTCGTCCGGACATACTGTTGTTTGAACAAAACATGAAGGCAGAATTTGATAGGTTGTAGTATGGAGGGAATCCGTGGTAGCTATTAACATCTCTTTCTGCATCGTTTGTATCCAAATCATCTTTGTAATGTTCTTGATTTTCACAGCCAGGGCTTATACTGGGACTAGAACCGGAAGAATCGGATGACAGAGGTCTAAAAAGAGAAGAGTATATAAATAGAGAAGTGATGACTCCATACTGATTAAAAAAGTTTTAAAATTTTCTGCGATTTATAGCGCATATATAGCACTATAATTGGTGTAAAATTACTCGATGTCATTCAGTTAAATGGCTTCTAAGTTTAAACGAAGACAACAAATCAAGAAGACTGGCAAATCTTTCATTTTCTCATACGAACGCGTCATCTGCCGCTCAAAGGTAAATGCTTCGAACGAATTTGATAGCAAAGATTACATCCTCAGAAGAAGAGTTTGTGTATTTGCTCAAGCGTAGCGCCATTGTATCTGTCGCTTGGATTATGGCAAAGTTGCCAGTCTTCTTGATTTGTTGTCTTCGGTTTAAATCAAGCTATTTTAAGTTAGAGAGAATACTGAATACTCTTAACGGAATCCCTTTCTGAAGAGCTGGTGATGAGTACTGCAAGTAGTAAACGAAATACGCGTATCTGTCAAAAGATAAGCAATTATAACGGAATTTAAAGGAAATAAACCAACTCACTCAAAGCTCTTCAGCATTTTCTTGTTATTTTCCATTCTTCAATGCACGACGTGTAAATATTTAAATCATTGACAAATCTCAGGTAATCATGACGTTTTGATCTTAGAAAACAACGCGAATGAAAAAAAAAAGAGATCTGTCATGATTACCTGAATTTTGTCAAAAAATGTAAATATTTAGGTTGTGTGGAGCGAAGAATTCCACCCACTCCAGTGGAATTTTTTTTTCGCGTTTTCTAATCACAAACACATACACACTACAATCATACAGATCCAAACGGTAAGCTTAAACCACGGTTATTTTAAAGAGGTGAATGCTTGGCATACACAGTTTTGGTCACGAACTGGTCATCTGCTAATAACTTTTCACAAAGTTGACGAAACATAGTTCTTTTTGAAGCAGTAGATAGAATAGAGTTCAAGTTTGTTATAGATGTGTAAAAAAAGTAGTAGTTATTTCTAGTAATAAACTGTATATGTTTTTGCGTTGCGAAATGAAGTGAGAAATGCTCGTTCCACATCTCGGATTTGAACTGTAAAAATTCATTGATGTTGATTCAAATCTCAAGACAGTCGGATCCTTGCGATAAATGCAAGAATGACAACTGTAAACAAAATCGAATACTTCATCATTTCTCGATAGTGATAGAGTAATACGACATGCACTGAGGACTACAATAGATCAAATTACTGATCGCAGTGGTGTTATGCCCCGAACAGAAACAAAATATTACGATTTACCTACTCTTTGCAAATCTTTAGTAAACTAACATTCCAATCTATCAATTACTTTAAAAAAAATAGATTTCAACAACTGAGTAAAAAGTTATTAACAAATGAGCAATTGTGCATGCCAAGCATGAAGAGCAATGGCTCTTGCGTGATGACGTCATTCCTATGCATTTCGTCAACAAGTGCAAATATGAAAAAAGTTGGTATTTTTATTTTTGTCTTTCACGTATTAGTTTAAGCAGGAGTACCTTTTAATGAACAAAATAATGCGCCTGCTACGTATTTATACTACACAATTCACTTACGCTATCGAAAGATACACGCAAACCAAAAATTTATTACTTTGAATCAAGGTTGCAAATACTCATTTTAGCTAAAATAATGTTTTTCGGGATAATAAAACCAAAAGATGGTATGATTGCATGTTTAACTTGTAACTTACAAGAAGAGGTTACAAAGTATGCGTTTGAAACATAAAACCTGTAAATTTTGCTTTCTATGAGTCACAATCAGCGATTTTCTTATCGCTGAGTGAGTGAGTGAGTGAGTGAGTGAGTGAGTGAGTGAGTGAGTGAGTGAGTGAGTTTTTGAAAAATCGCTAATTGTGACTGTCATGAAGTGAAATAAACAGGTTTAATATGTCAAACACATTCTTTGCAACCTCTTCTTGTATCCTACCAATTCAAAATTTGATCATGGCATCTAATTATTTCATAATTTAGAAAAACATTGTTTAAGCTGAAATGAGTATTTGCAACCTTGCTTTGAATCTTAGTTGCATTTCCTATCTTCCTCCGCAGAGAATGATATATGTAAGTTGACCATGCAGACGATGCAATGATTTTTCAACTTTTTATTTCGTTTTCTGTCTACACTTTCAACTATATCAGCAAGTTTTTTTATTTATAACATTGTAGAATGACGCACACAGTTGCCTTCATTCTCTCCATTTCCCGTTCATGAGCTTCTATACGATATGCGCCTCTTATACGCTTTAAGCCTCTATCCATATTCCGAAGCATGGAGGGAGCAGTGAAGAAAGCACAGATCTGCTTATCGCAACGTTCGTAGTTCGAGCATAGAGGTAACTCTAAGACTAGTAGGTCCCGAAGAAACGTGCTCAACTTTTTGGCTCAGCTCTGGTACTATCTTCGGTCCCAAGCTAATCGATTCACCCCTCGAAACATAGGAAAAACCAATAACCCCTCACTTTACCTGTCAAACTTTCATAGCGAATCAAAACAAACATTGCGTAGTACTAGAATTTCGACTAGAATGGGGTACGTTAATCGTTTGCTTGGGACCAATAGGCTAGTCAAGTAGTGAGCCAATTTTAAATCGTTAGTTTCGTATTGATTGTTGGTTCGAGTGCCGTCGGCAACCTTTTTAAAATTTGTTTCGACATAATTCATATCACTCACTAATACCAACAATCAATACGAAACTAACGATTTTAAATTGGCTCACCACTTTAGTAGCCTATTGGTCCCAAGCAAACGATTAACGCACCCTATTCTAGTTGAAATTCTATTACTACACTATGTTTGTTTTGATTCGCTATGAAAGTTTGACAGATAACATCAGGGGTGTGTGGATTCATGCAGAACATGCAGGGGTGAGTGAAATAGCTTGGGACTGCTTGGGACCGTTGTTCTGGTACTGAGTGAGCCAAAAATAATAATGATTTTCTTCGGGACCCAGTGGTCTTAGAGTTACCTCTATGCTAATACACTCCTCATTTTTTGGTCTCCAATTTTCTTGCATTTTACTGCAGCTTGGTATATCTCATCCTCCGTTCATGCGATCTCCACTAACATCCTGCGATGATGAAACCCTCATTACATCGCAAATCTTACATCCCCCGGTTGGACGATCAATCGACGACATTAATCGACATTCGAGCTTGATGTTTACAGCCAAGAGCATGCTTTTTTATAACGTATATATTTTTACAGAAACGGAATTATTTGTTACTACATCTTTGTCACAGACGCCATTTCATACATCTTTGTAACGTGAAGTTTTCGAGTTATGAATTGTTGAATAATGTAAAATATGCCGATTCAAAATGGCCAACTTTTAGCTCAAATGTGAATGATTGACGATAGCAAACAATTATGCAAAGTTTATATAACAAATATATAAAATGATTGTAGGTATCCTCTTATAAACCAGAAATCCAAACTCTGACATAAAAAACTTCTAATATTTAAACAATTTTTTAGACCAGCCATGCTTTACGTTGTGCCAAGATGGTCTAGTTGTTACCAGGAACCACCAGACTACCAGGAAAAATGCTCTTAAAAGGATACATAACAAAGTTCTGAATTATATTTTGAAGTTGCCTCCCTGGTACAGTACTACCAACCGGTGGAATTGTCAGTTAGTGTAGCCAAACGAGCATGACGTCATCATGGTGTTTTTTTGCGGGGGTAGTATTGTAATATTATTTAGCGTATTTATTTAGCGGAAAACGGAAGAAGGAAACCACCCCTCGATTCATCAATGCAAAGATTTGCTTTCCACTTCATTTTGAACTTTTGCGCACGAAGGAAAACAAAACAAAACAAAACTGCACAACGAAGAACTCTATGATGGCATGCACATTTTGCACGGACGCCAGTAAGACCATTAATTTTTAATGGTTGCCAAACAAACCATTTGTGCCCCCGCTTATCGATGGAATCTATAGTATCTATAGTGGAAACTAACGATTTTAAATTGGCACACTACTTGACTAGCCTATTGGTCCCAATTCTAGTACTACACTATGTTTGTTTTGATTCGCTATGAAAGATTGACAGATAAAATGAGGGGTTCGTGGGTTTTCGTGTAACGGACGCTGTGCAAATCCTTGAGGACCAGGATCGGCGATCCGAGGGCGTTATAGCAGCGATAAGTATGGCAGCAGTGATGTTTCCAGCTAGATCGATACCGACCCCGGTCCGTTGCAAATGAAGTTTAAAGGAGATATTAATATCATAAACTATAATAATTATAATCTACAGGTCGATAACTATATTGTCCATTTACATCTGTTCCTCTGATATGACCTGAAGACAAAAACCCTAGAGGCATTATGGTTTAGAGTAGAGAGGGCCCATTAAAAGCGAGGAGTGGACTCAAAAACTGCCTTGGCAACCTATGCCTAGGTAATTTCAGGCAAGTCCGCTCCTCTCTTTCTAGTTTTGGGTAACTATTACACCATTGCTTCAACTGGAGTCCTAATCTTATCGAATGATTTTCATCGACAAGCAAACATTTGTGAAATCCTTTAAATTTGTCGAACCTCTTAACCGAATCCCTTTATGAAGAGCTTTAAGGAGGTTGGTTTATTTCCTTTAAATTCCGTTATAATTGCTTTTCTTTTGACAGATACGCGTATTTCGTCTACTACTTGCAGACTTCATCAGTGCCAAGTAGTGGTGTTGAGTACTTGGCACTGCTGAAGTCTGCAAGTAGTAGAAGAAATTCGCGTATCTGTCAAAAGATAAGCAATTATAACGGAATTTAAAGGAAATAAACCAACCCACTCAAAGCTCTTCATAAACATTTGTGCTTAAATTTCACTTATAGAGCCACCGAAAAAAGATTTATTTTTGTCAAGCAACGCCCTAGTCTATTTGCAAACATTTTTTTTAGAAGATAAATCATAAACACTTCTTCTAATGTAATTGTTTCTTGTTCAGAAATATATTTCAATAGCATGCACACAAAAAACAACTACTAAAAAACTAAAAAACTT